TTTTCTCTGAAATGCGAATTTTCTTTCTCATGTGCAACGAAACTCAAGGCACGCAGCCCCCAACAGCAGCGAACCTGTTCCCAAAAATTCTCTGAACTTTTTTCGCTGTGATAAGAACTCACCAGCGCGAGCGCGAATCCAAGGTAAGCCGCGGTCGAAATAGACCTGTCGTCCGCCAACGCAGCGCTGAAGATGCTGTCCCAGTCCTCGGCGTCGTCAGTGATCGTTCCGACTGCAGGCAGGCAAGGAAGAAATATTCATATGGCGGGATGCAGATCAGCAGCGAAGTCATGGATGAGTACAACACACGTTACTAATTTTACCTCTCCATTACGAATACCGAACGACGAGCAAGCCAGTACAGTAGCCAAGCCAACCAACTAACTTGCACCAAGAGTTTCGAAAAAAACGCAACGTCAACGAAAAAAGAACCCGGGAACGCACGTTTTACGGATTCTCGAAACAAACACGAAGACAGGAAAAAAAAACAAGAGAAACTCACGTTGCACGAACTTGGTGACCCCAATCTCGACCTCGGTGTCCGGCGGCAAGCCCATCTCGTCCAGAAGGTCCGCGATCCCGGTCTCCGCCAGGGCGTTGATCTGCTCGGCGGCCTGCTGTGCCTCCGTCAAGTTCGAAGACTGGTCGGGCGAGGACTCGTATTCGATCTCGGTCTCGGTCTGGTTGCCCGCGGCCTCCTCCTCCTGGAGCTGCCGGCTTCCGCGAAGCAAGCGATTCCTGCTGCTGTCGTCGGCGACGTCGCCGTCCGCAACGAACAGGAGAACCCTCCTGCCGGCGTCCGCTGCAGCCGCTGTAGAGGTCACCGTCACGTCCGTCACGTTGACGGTGCCGTTCCGCCCGAGCGAGCTCTCCAGTCCGTCCTCGACGACCTCCTCGCAGTTACCGGCGCCCGCGCACTCGGGCGCCTCGTCGGAGATGATGGTGATGGACCCGATCAAGGACCCGTCCGGCTCGTCGTCGACCACCGTCGCCGCCGGCGTCGGCACGACCGTGGGGCTGCTGGTCGGGACGGCGGTGGGGCTTCCCGTGGGGGCGAACGTGGGAGCGCCGGTGGGAGCGCCGGTCGGCATGGCGGTCGGGCTGCCGGTCGGGACGGCGGTGGGACTCTCCGTGGGGGCGGCGGTCGGAGTACCCGTGAAGGCGGACGGAGACACGGTGGGGGCCAGCAGGGAAGGGGCCGCGGTCGGGCTCGGGGCCAGGGTCGCGCCGGGAGCCAGGGTGGGCAGCTCGCGGATGAGGTTCGGGGCCCACGTCTCTCCCGGCGACAGCGTCGTTCCGGGGGCGATGGTCGCGACGGGCGCTGAAGTGGTTCCTGTGAGGCGAGGGGGGTTGAGGTAGGGCAGAGGGCGGGGGTGAGGTGGGGGGAGGGT